GTGTCCATAACATAACGAAAAATAACTATATTATTGTATTCGACGGGAGGGACTGGGGGATAGACAAGGTGAAGTGAGGGATTTGAGGCGGGAGGATGGGGGAGGAGGGGGCAAACCATTCAGTTTCAAGTTGTAGAAGCTAGTTATGTACAACCTAAAAGTGCCACACTGTCTCCCCTACTTTCAACAAGACTAAAGAAGCTCCCAGTCTATTCATAACCTCCCCTTCTTCCCCCAACAGAGAAGAACAATTTCGCCGAGGTGTAGAGGCCTCCGAGCTGAGGTTTTCCTTCCAAAACGGCGTCGTGGCTCAAATCTGTTCCGGCCAATCCGAGGATGCCTGGGTGACCAACTTCAAGAAGGGAATTCTCTCCAGCTTCCAGAACAGCATGGATGACCTGACGAAGGCCCAGAATCTTACAGAGGTAATGTCACAGTCTTGATATTTAGTCACGCACATCCCTCGGAAAAATAGCTGAAAGTCAAAGTTTAATCCCATCAGGCTTGAAAACTTAAAACTGTTTAGTGTAGATAGAGATAAAAAAAAAGCACTACTTATTATTCCCAGGCAAAAGATAATAGCCTTATATTTTCTTTAACAGCTATTTCCTTGGTTTAAAAAAAGTTAATATTCGTATCTGAGTCAGTGCCTTTATAACTTTCAGAAATGGCAATAAAGAGGCTTATATGTTTGATGAAGAAATAAAGTTTCAAGGAGGACTTTTTGTATCTGTGAGTTACTTCAAATTCAGCTTTATGAGGGTTCCACATCTCCCCTAAAAAACGAAAGAAAATGATGGCTGACACCCTGTTATTCAAAATGCTCTACTCTACATCAGCCTCACGATACGAAGCACAACAAGATAGTTCATTCAGCCAAAAAAAGTGTCCCCGGAAGTCCGCGCAATGGTTCAGATGACGCTACAGTCTTTGCTCTCTTTCGTTTCTCCAGAAGAGAAATAGGAGTACCACTGTTTGTTAGTTTCTTTTTTTTCACACTAGTAAGGTAACTCTGATCGCAAAGTTCGCACTTTTTCGAAGAGGGGGCTAAGAATTTTAAGGACACTTTTTTTAAGTTGGCTCAAAGAGAGAGAGAGAGAGGAGTGCATTATCTTGTTTGGTTTAGAATTGAACTTTACGATCTCCCCATTCCATCCCCACAGACTGATGTTGCCGGCGAGTGCCGCACCGAGTACAAACTGGTCAGCGACGGCTACTACAGCGTCAGCATCAAGAAGAGCAAGGACATTCTGAGCTGTACCAAACGTCACCAGTACAAGACCATGCTGCAGATGTCTCCTTACAATGTACCCTCTGTGAGTAAAATTTCAGACCTGCCTGGTATTTGGAGCTCGACACTCTGCTAGAACATTGTATATCAATCAGTTATAAAGTCTCTTATTCATTATGTCCCCATCTGTAAGAACAACGTTAGATCTGTGAATGTTGGGTACTTGACCCCCAGACAGAACATTCTACACCATTATTTTATAAGGTATCAATATTCTCTTTGTGAATGAAATGTCAGACCTGCCTATTTTTGGAGCTTGACCCTCAAGCAGAACTTTGAGGATAATCCATTTATAAGATATCAGATGTCCATCTCTGTAAGTACAACGTCCGATTTATTTTTCAAACTTGGCACACAACTGGCACGATGTATATCATTATTTTTCAGGTATCTATGTTTTCTATTTGTATTGAAAAAAAGCTTCTAAAAGTGTTTTGCTTTTCTCTTGCTGCCTTCTTTTTTTAATCAAAGACATTTATTAGTCACAGACCATCAGGGGATTAGTGTGTGTTCTACTGAGGTCTGCATCGTATACTTTTCCAATGTTACTGTTACACTAAGAATACTATGTTCTTGGCAAAATTATTTACTTGTTATTTTGACTCATGGTGACCCCTCACGATTCAACACCACTGTCCCACCACCTCACAACTCAACACCACTATCCCACCTCCCACAGGAAATTCAGTCCCTCCCGATCATGAAGACCACACACGAGTGTGAGCAGGACATCCAGAAGGCCGGAGTTCTCAAATCCAGCACGTGCACTGAGACTCACGTCTACAGGCCCTTCGCCAACGGAAACAGTGGAGGGATGACTGAGGTCAAGCAGACCTTGACTTACAGAACGTCTCAATCTGGAGGCAGATCTCGCCCAGGTAAAGACAAACAAGAAATGTTAACAACATCGCACGCACATATTAGATCTGTTTGGGCAAGTAAACGATGGAAGTACGTAATGTAGAAATTATTTAGGCTTTGACTCTTTTGAGTGTTGACGGTTGGCGAATGCTTTTGCGTTGTTTGCCCATTCTCTCCTTCTTCTTTTTTGTGTCTGTTGCCCTCATGTACACATTAAATGTTGGGCACCTATATGACCTAATTGTATTTCCACTGCCGTAAATGTCTTACTGAAACGACTCTTTTGGGCGGTGGTCGCGACACATGTTGTCCCAAAGACCGGCAAAGGAATGTGCTGAATTTGAAAAAAATGTAGGAGAGCAGCTAGCAACAGTATATAATGGCTTTGATATTGTCGGTCTATATTGCGCGATGTCCACCCTTATACGGGGTGCCAATTGCGTATGGGATCGGGTCGGGTTGGAGGCGATCGCCCAACTCGTCCCCTGAAAACAAACGCGTTTGTTTTTGAGGCGCCGATTCGGGCGCGATAGGCCTGTGCCATGATAGCCGCTTTGCACCTTCAATCTGGCTAGCAAACCGACCTGACCAGACCTGATACCCCAATGGGCACCCAGTATTAGCTTTTATGCCCCACATCTTACCTTCGAGTATTTCCTTCATAATGATGTATGGGCGTTTTATATGACCAAAATGTATCATTTTCTTTACTTCATGTTGTTAAACAAGGTGTATCTTGTGTGGAGAATATGTGATAATTATTATATGTATCTATTTCACAGCCACCATCAGAAGTAGGGACACTCTGGTCTTTGACCACTCTGCTAGCCTGCCAGACACCAAGATGGCCCGTGTGGAGGCGGAAAGACGTCTGCGTGACATCTGTGCCACGTCCCAGCATGACGTCAGATCAGAGTCCCCACGCCAGTTCTCCGATTTGGTCAGTGCCATGCGGTCACTCTCCCAGAAGGACCTGGAGGATCTGCACAAACTGCTCAAGACCAAGTCTCTCTGCCCGGAAAACGAGAAGACCTTGTAAGTTTTGGGAACAGTCTGGGTTCTGGGAACGACTTGTAATTTGATTGTGTATGGAGGTCGCGACGTTCTTTATTATCACGATCTCATTGAGAACGCACTAGTTGCAAAGAATTAGGGTATGTGTTTAACAGATGTTGGGATGTGTTTGCACTTTCGTTTCTATCAAATGTCTATCGTCTTTTTCTCTCCTTCTATTTTTTTGCCTGTTACTCTCTAGTAACAACTCTAATCGTCGAAACTTATATGATCTAATTGAGTTTCAAGAACCGTAAAACTCTTAATAAAGCTAAACATTTTTTTTTAGGAAATAAAGAAAGGATTTGGCAGTGGATTGATACCAGAGCACGACTTTCAATTCTGATAAGTAATGTTTTCTGCACAAGAGAAGAAAATGCGTTGTGCAGTTTTTTAATTCACATTGATCTGCTAAAAGTGATATGTATCTACATGTAGTGTCCATAACATAACGAAAAATAACTATATTATTGTATTCGATGGGATATTTGTTAGACAATAGATTTTATACAATATTGGAGCAAAGCATTATTGAAAATACCGCCTGTCCCAAAATATGTCTATTGTCCGATTAGCGACTTTTAGTTTTCCCTAATTTGTTTTTTTCCCCTTATTGAATAATTTACTGTAACTTAGAGGTACACTATACATTGAAGAACCAAGTGTCAGGAGTAATATGTAATATAAGCGAAAGGTTTTATTTCTATAACGAATGTTGTGTTGTTTTCCCAGCAAATTCTTTTTGGATGCTCTGCCCCTGACTTCCACTGACGCATCTGTGAAACTGATGACGTCACTGATCACCGACAAAGATGTGAAGGGCATGCTAGCTCAGGCCTGGATCACCTCTTTGGGTTTCGTTCAAGCCCCGACATCTGATATGCTTCTCAATGCTAAGGTATGATTATTGTATCCACTTTCCACACGAGAAATCACACTCAGCATCATCTGCATTTTTAATTTTGAGAGGGATACACAATCCGGCACGAGAGACGTAGACTTAAATGCTCGATTAAAAATTACTCCCGAATCAGGAATCGAACTAAAGTCTCTTGATTGCGACCGCGAAACGCCTAACCACTACACAACAGACGCTGTTACCCAATGTTTACTTTTTTACATTTAGTCGGCATTCTATTCAGTCGTTCAGTCTGCCAGTGATTTATGGACATGAGAACTCACTGATATGATTGTATTATTTCACTGTATAGACAGCATAACTCACATATATGATTATATTACTTCACTGTATAGACAACGTAACTCACAGACATGAGTGTATTATTTCACTGTATAGACAACTAAATTCACAGACATGAGGGTATCATCTCACTGTATGGACACCTGAACTCACAGACATGAGTGTATCATCTCACTGTATAGACAACTGAACTGACAGACATAATTGTACTGTCTCCCTCAGACCCTGGTGGACAGTGAGCACACAAGAGCGGAGTCCCTCCTGCCTGTCTCCTCCATGGTCAACAACTACTGCAGGAAGATGACGTCATGTGACCAGGACTACGCCGTGCTCAGCGTTATGGCCTCCCTGGAGAGGGACATTGGCTACTACTGCGACGCTTCTGGAAAGAATTTTGAAAAGGTTAGAACACAAATATTTAATGAGCAATAATTGGTTAGGTTGATTCATTCTAATTTTACAGAGTACCAACATTTTCATTCGTCCACGACGGAGAGGGGGCCAGAGAGAGGGAAAGAGCGTACAGAAACATAAGATTTTCCTTCAGTGTTGTAACCCTCTTCTAAATATTATATCCAACCAAAGTGTTCCTGTGTTTTCTATTATTAACTCTTTTCGGTCTCTAAGCGCAATAATGCGACGGTGAAAATTCTCCGTTCCGGTCACATGGGACTGCACCAGGCCCGAGAAGTCCGTTGCAGTCACTCTCCTGGGTGGGTGACCAGGTGGGGTATTTCGTACTTCTCGCTGTGTGACTGCAAAGTGTTAATTTGACGACACCTATTATTATTTACCGTTCTTCGTTCGGCCACTAGATCTACACCATCCAAGATAATAAAAACTGCCTTTACTTTTCCCTTCAAAGCTTTGTTTCTTCCCCTCAATTATATAACCAAACTCGTGTCGATAGTGCCGTAAAATTTGTACTCAACCAAATCCCTCAAATCCCCGCAGGTCCTTCTGTCCCTGAGAGCCATCGGGAACGCCGGACACGCCACCCGTGCCGCTGACGTCATCAACAGGTGTCTGAGCGCCACTTCCAACCCGCTGGAGATCCGGGTGACCGCTGCTGAAGCCTTCAGACGGATGCCTTGTGGCGCTAAGGTGAGGGATACGCCCCCTTGAACTACTAGGCGAACCTGCTTTAACGGCCACCAGTATAAGACAATCGCCTGTACTAACGGTCACTTCCCATTTCCTCTTTTGTATTTTCTGTCCTGTATGAAGAACGCATTTAGTTACGCAGGTCTATGAAGTACAATGAAAATCAGATAAAGACTGCATCTACACACAGCTCTACAATATGCAAGTTATTTCTTTGTTAATGAAAAAAAAGGTTACCAACTCGATTTGATGTTGTCTTGTAGTCAGTGGGTTTCACAGATGAGTTCTCGTATCAGCTATAAATTTTTGTTCTGTAGATTTTGCATGTTTGTATGGTGCCTCACCTTCTGTTGTGACATTTGACTTCTGAGACAGAATACCACCCGTTGTTTCTTTTTGTGGACAGCAGAACATCTATTTCTATGTGTGCTACAGAAAAGCATAATATGTTATATCCACGTTCGTTGCAGAACATCAATGGGTATTTTTATGTGAATGTGTGTATATGTGTGTTTTGTTCAGGAAACTGAGCTGTGGAACACTTACGAGAACGGCGACCTTGACTCCGAACTCCGAGTGGCCGCCTATCTAGCCCTGATGCGCTGTCCCAGTGACGCAATCCTGGGCAAAATGGCCGCCAGTCTGGTCAACGAGGAAGATGACCAGGTCGGATCCTTTGTCTACAGCCACTTGACTAACCTGAGAGAGACCTCAGACCCACACAAGCAAGACGTCGCACGTGCTGTGAAAAAGTGAGTTGTTGTTGGAGACGATCTCGTCTTGGCTGTTTGACTCACGTGGTGATTTCGAGACCTTATAAACAAAGAGGTTTATTAATTCGTCGTGTGGGATCAAAAGGATTCAATCTATTAATAACATACTAGAATCTACACGGGAATCGTCGTTTCGTTCTAATGTGACTATTCTGCTCCCGTAAAATGCTCAGGGAAAAGGGTTTCTATTTTGCTTTTGGGTTTAGAATTTATAAACTTTGACGTCCAATGTCTCAAAAGTGCTAAAAATGCAGCATATAGTCTTTATAACCTCCTGCTGCGTTGTTTCTATAACTCACAAGTGCCCCTCCTAGAAGTTATGCGTGCTGATATAATAAACGTTATTGTGATTAGAAAATTCGTTCCTCAAAAACAAACAAAGCTCAGTATCAATTTATTTTGCTGTTGTTAAATATCTGTCATTAAGTATACAAGAAATGCAAGACAGACAGACTGAAACATTAGAAAGTGAAATACGAAAGAGGACTTACTAATGATGCCTTTTAACCACCCGCATAAATCTTCGTGAAAAACAAAACACACTAAGAATTATTTTTTTGTTTAATATTCGAGGTTTTGTCTCTGTTCACAGCGGAGTATTGGGGGATGAGGTAGGATGGGGAGAAGGGGGGGGGGGGGTGGGGGATGAGAGGAGGTGAAGAAAGATTTAGTAAGGTTAGTGGCAAGCCAGGTGGATGTAATGTAAATCTGTTTTGACATTCTATCTCAGTTGCAGTAGTGAAACAATCGTTTTTGACCGCACCTCACGTCACTTGTCTATCCCCAGCCTCGCCCTGGAAAAGGAGTTTGACCTGAACACCCTCAAGTTTTCCCGGAACTTCGAGGCTTCCACACTCCTCAACAAACTGAACACAGGATTCACGGCCGAGAGCAACCTCGTCTGGTCCAGCGTCTCCCAGATGCCCAGATCTGTCACCGGAAATCTGACCATTGACCTGTTTGGTCAAGCCATCAACTTGATGGACTTTGGAGCTCGTCTTGAAGGGTTGGAGTACCTCATGAAGAATCTGTTCGGACCCTATATGCCAGAAGAGAAGAAATTCAAGGTATTACTTGAGCATGATCAAAGTGTGGTTGGTTTAATATATTTGAAGCAAAAATGTTTTGACAGTTTTGGTTTTCAAGACATCATAATATAAAGCAACATGTGATTGTTACAAATCTGCAAGTGTAACGAGAAACAAAGCAAGCAGATATGCAACCTCAAGGTCTTGCCTTTTGACATGTAGCTTCTTATTGAAAACACAATGATTCATTACTTCCACTGTTTAGAAAACAGCATTTGCTGCATGTTTACTAAATGATCCATTATTTCATTGTCTAGAGAATAGTATTTGCAACAAGTGTCCATGCACTTTTTAACGCAGCAATAACAACAATAACAACAACAAAAACAACAACAACAACAACAACATTCAGCCAATCAAGAACTCTTCTCTCACAATCAACAACAATTCTCGATGTTCTCAGAGCCCCACGAAAGCAGAAGATGTCGAAGGCTCCGTCTACGGTCGAGTCTTTGGTAACGAGATGTTCTTCATGCACAGCAAGACAATGACTTCCCCCTTCAAGAAACTCCCCACAACCTGGCTGGACCTTCTTATCCAGCTGTCCAAGAAACAAGACTACACCCTGACCCAGTCAGCTCAGTTTATGGACGTCAGGTAAAGGGAACACATTTCAAACTGTTTTTGTCGTTAGCGTGACCTACGGGAACTTTTTGTTGTTATTACAATGTTGGTTTGGGGGGGGGGGGGGGATACTACAAAAGAGTAGCGCTTTAAAGTCACAGGTAAAACCATAAGAAGGTGATCTATCTTATACTTTGGCAGACAAGCCCTCCAGTTTAGATAAGGGAAAGGCGCTGCTATTCCTGATGTTTGTGATCATTACAAGCTGCTTGCTGTTATTTTCCTATACTTTATTCTTATAGTTGCAATAGTATTGTCCCCAGAGCTTGAGGCATTTTAAAGATTGTAGCACGTTTAGGACAAAGACTTGAATAATTACTTTTTTTCAATTGGGCAAGAAAAGCTAGTACGTTTTCGTGAACATCCAACTACTTCCTTTTCACCATCGCCTGAGATGTAGCAATTAGACGCTTTGCCATCGCACGCAGAAGGCCCAAATTCAGTTCCCGTGTAGAGGGAGTTTTACCGAGTATATCAGTCTTTCTGATTGGACAATGTACCCTTCTCAGGCCACGTTGGCCATATCAAGCAGCGTCAAAGCCCGCCTCTCAAATGATCTGAACTGTATCGATCGGGGTGTAAAAACACCTACATTTTAACAAAAACCCTCCACCCTGGTGTCCCCAGCATGATCATCCCCACAACGGCCGGTCTGCCCATCCACATCGACGTCAACGGAACCGGCACTCTGGACCTGGTCCTCAGTGGAAAGATGGACCTCCGCAAACTGGGCTCTTCTCCCCGCTCCCTGGACATTGATGGAGAAATCCGACCAAGGTTAGTCGCCTCACTTTATCAAGTCAACAAGTTACTCTTTCTGATGAATTGTTGTAAAAACTGAGAATCTTCTGATATGTTGGAGTCTTCACAAATACTTTAGAGACGGGGTATTTAAGGGCGGGGGGACAGTATAATTGCAATTACAATTTGTGACTGGAGAATTGAAGCTGAAGTGAAATCAAGCACAACCCTTTTGTTGTATATCTCAAAACACAAGAGTTCAGTGCATAATTTTAGGGCTTGTAGATGTCTGTTGAACAGCTATGCAGATTTTGAAAGCAACTGCCACTCATTGTTTAATAAAAGAATCAAATGATGTTATCTATTGCGTTCCCCAGATAGCATTCCTCTGTGCCGTAGAACTCATCAAAGTGGTAACATCAGGAAGTGACATATGTGGTTTTCTGGGGCACTTGATATAATAAGAGCTTTGAACGTCTTGCTCTTATGAAAATATAAAAGGCATATGGAGCAGGGGCAGACCCAGACAAAACTATTTTTGGAAAATCTGAATAAATGGTTGAGGAGGAAACACCAGGATAATGTAAGATTCTTAGAGCATTCAGGCGGAGAAAGGAATGGAGAACCATTATCATTGATGTCTTTTTCATACCTGGCCCTTCATGATGATGAGTAACACTAAACTCTTTAACATTTGTAGCGCTGCTGTTGAGATCTCTGGATCTATGTCTGTGGACGCCATGGTGACCAGGACAGGACTGCGCATGCGCAACACTCTTCACACCAGCACTGCTCTGAAGGGTCGCGTACAACTGGAGAGAGGCCAACAGCTCAACTTGGAGTTGGACACCCCTGAGGACAAGATGGAAATCTTCAATGCCAGGTATTTAGTAACGAAACGTACATGTGCAGTTGAACCTGTCTAAGATGACGAACGAGTATCGAAGAGAGAAGTAGATATCTTAAATAGGCGATTTTCTTGGACAGCATCATTATGATATTGTATAAAAATGCAAGGAGTTTGGGTGGGGGGGGGGGAGGGGGTTGGAAGACGCCATTTGGACTGGTGATAATCTTGAGCAAGTGGTTGTCAGAGTATGTTCGACTGCATATGTTCAGGGAATTCTCTTTGGGGTTTTTTTTTCTCCAAACTTTTCAAAGCTTGGAAGGGAATGTCAATAAAGAGCAGACGCATTTGAGCTCTTGGAATGATTTTTTTCTCTTCTGTCCAAAACATGGACTGTTTTTGGGTACTTTGGTTTTGCCAATGAATTCCACAGTTTTTCACTTACTGTTTTCCTTACCTTGGTTGTGCCAATACGTTTTACAGGTCTTCCCATACTGTTTATCATACCTTAGTTTCATCAATGATTTCTACTGTTCTTCACTTGCCATTTACCCCGTCTTGGTTCTGCCCCCAGGTCAAAGTTCTTCATCCTCCACAACGACGTGGAACAGGAGCAGGCCATGATCACGGAGAACCGACAAGAGTTCAAAATGTGCTCCGGTGGCCAGCTTGCCGATTTGTCCGGAATGGAGCTGTGTGGCGAGCTGACCTTCGCTAACGCGTCCATGAAAACCACCGGCCCTTACTTTCCTCTGACTGGACCCACCTCTGGCAGCCTGACGCTTTACAAGAGAGACTCACACAAGGGCTACAAGATCTTTGCCAAGCGTGTGGAGGTAGGCTCGAGTCGATAGATTATGCCCTCGCTATATACTATATCTAAAGGAAATCCTTTATATCTTGAAAAAATGACAGAATATCCTTTGCATTGTTCTTTTTCATTTGTTCCAATAAAGCTAGTGATGTGTCATATCTGTCCAATCAAGCCTAACCGTATATACATTTTGCCTGTCTCCTTGCAAAACTAGCACTAATCGCAGGAGATTTCCTCCATTGCAAAGGTGATAGCTTAAACATACATTATTTCTTTTTATTGGGAGACACTATCAAAATCGCTTTCTAGGACCAGGACAGAGGTTTAAACATTGGCAATGACAAGACTAAGTACATTAAGTACAAATACTAAGTGTCGTCGGTAGCCTAGTGGTTAGGCTCTCGGATTCGCAACCGTAAGGTCGTGGGTTCGAATCCCGTCCGGGGCCGACGTTGTGTCCTTGGGAAAGGCACATTACACGAATTTTCCTCACTTCACCCAGGTGGGAATGGGTACCCGGCTATAGACTGCGAAAGATCTTTTCAGTTTGATAGAGTTTCAGCGCTTATTCAGCTGCTTGCACTGTATGCTTCCCTGGAAGCTGAGAATGTTTCTGAGTGTTCTATGGTCTGCTGGGGTAATAATATAGTGCAAAACGCATAGAGCCTGCTGTTGAGCGGGGATATGCACTGTACAAATGCTATTTATTACATTAAATGGATTTTATCAGTAGAATACCATCGCGAAATCCCGTTGTCTAGAATGGATATTACGTTGAATAAGTTCTCGGAGTGTATTATATAACTGCCGTCTGAGCAATATTGGTACCAGAATATAATATAGTCTTGTGGCTTTCAATACTCGTAAAATACAATGACATTGAGCGTTTCCGCACTGTTCTCAGAACAAGAAAGCTAGCATTGCCCAGATTTCTCTGAACACACCGGGCTCAAAGGTGGATCGTGCCATCCTGCTAGAGATTGACGTGGACTACCCCAAACAGTCTCTGGACGCCATCATGAGGACTCCGTGGAAAAAAGCTGCTGTCAGAGGTAAGATTTTTTGTGGGACAGGGCTCGGCAAAGCCAAGTCGAGTGAACCATTAATGTTTTCAAACGGGCGAGTGAATTGAGGGGGATAGTGCACATAAATGTAAACGTCGTAGATTTCTTCCAAATGCTGGTCTTTGAGAAAATCTGTTCTTCTCAAGTCAATGTTTTAAGGAATAAAGTCTGATAACTTAGTTTGCAAAAGTAATCAAAACTGGATATCTTGTGAGGGAAACGAATTCGATTTCCTCAGAGAATAATGGAGTATTATTGAGTTTGTATTCTAACTTGAAACCGGACTAGAGAAGTCGAGGAGGGGAAAGTGAGAGGAGGGGGAGGAGGAAGAGGAGAGGGAAGAGGAGAAGGAGGAGGAGGAG